TAAACGACTTTCCTTAGCTTTCGCTTCCTTTCTTTGCGACTCATTGCCCAAAATCAGTACTCTCAAAAATCCGGCCCCGTTAGCGTCTTGGGACACCTTGGGTAACGAACTAAGTTGATAGCTCCACCTGCTGGCTTAGATGGCAATTGTAATCCCGCGTGAGTACCTGTAGGTTAGCATGATAGTGTAAATGCCTACAGCCTACTCCCACTCGTGACGCATATGAACCGGCTTTTCGCTAGTCCCGGTTGGCTCGCAAGGACATCAGTCCTCACTTGATTACCTGTGAGCCCGTGCTATCTCTAGCTCAAGGAAATGCACAAGTACCACGAGCTCACGAAGCTAGCATGATCGCACGAGTATCCGTGAAAATTTTGTATGGCAATTCTTTAGACTCACTTTTCCCCAATCAATAAGAGCATTCATCCCTCCTTTTCTTTTACTACTCCGAAGCAGATAGAGTTCGACAACATCATTCAATGCATCGTTCAGTCAATTCCTACACAAGAGTCATCATGCACATACTGCCAGAACAAGGGCTGCAAGCCAGAAAGAGATGGGGGCGTTTTCAAGTGAGATGGTTCGAAGCCTTATCTTGCACTGATTTGAATTAATGGCCAAGCCTCCCCAGGGCTTTATTACCCTCGTCCAAATTCGACATCATGCTCAATTTCTCCTCTCACTTTCCGATCTTGTCCTTTTTCAGACTAAACCTCTGTCTATATTTGCAAGGAGGTGAACGGTGACCTGACCTCTTTCTGCAAGGGGGTTTCAAAACACCAGCTGAGCAGAAACCAATTACATTCGACCACGGCTCCGTGAGCCAGCACAATGAACGTGATCCCCAAATCAACATTAACGCAGGAAGTCTAGACGCCTCACACTGACGCCCTCAAAGGAAACGACAATAACAGATGAGATCGACACTTGCTGCGTTAAATCCGATAGGAGCCCAGACCGGTGTGGGAGAGCGCACGGTAAAATTAGTCCGGATGGAGTTAGACACGCTTGACGCCAACGAAAGTCATCCGATGGTGACATGTACGCTCGAGCTATGACATTAAAGACTCGAGATTCTCGCCAACAACTCCTCTCCCTAGTCAGTTCAGTCGCATTTCCCTCTCATCTTTCTTGCTCCCAGGCACTACTTGTTATCTCACACATCACCAAGACTAGAGAAGAATGGATGATGTCAACAGAAACCCATTCCTGCCTACTGCAGTTGCCTGCTTATCTTCTTGTTGCGTACTCTTCGAGAGTTCTCACCCCCGCTCGCACGAAACTCTTCACGGTAACAGCTCACGAGAGTCGACTTTAATTAGGACTCTATTCTTGCTGGTCTAAGAGCGCGTTCAGATGCAAAGGGGTATGAGACAACCCGCCCAATCACATCAGCAGGTAGCAGGATCAGTACCCAATTAATAAAGCGGCGCTCTTACTAGTGTCGAATCGGAGTACACTTGACGAGGCATTCAACCGTCAAAGGAAAGAACAGATGCCGACTACTATGCGGTGGGGCCTTAGAGCAAGCCCGCCGGTTACTCGTACCTCCGCTTGAGTCTCTCTCTCTTGACTGCCCAGTTGACTTCATCTAGGCATGGGAGAGCCACTGTCACTTACGAGTTCATTGTGACTCCCCCCCTTTTGCCTCTCATTCGCGTGCCGCACACACCTCACATACCGCAAGACTGACTCCCTTCGCTGATTTCGCCCGTCTCAAAATCTCTTTGCACGCGAGACGGTTGACCTTCTCTTTCACTCTGGGCCCGCATACGTCGTATGAAATGTGCGCATTGAATCTCATCAACGGCCTGCCCATCCAAGAGGCAGTGGCAATGGTCTTAGATCGCACGACGAGCCAGCTATCCAGAGTGTGCATGCAAGTCCGTCCTCACATCTCCCTTTGAACCACTTCACTAGACCCTTTTCAACCACACTCAACATGGCCTGTGATCAATGCAGTTCCCGCCAATTAGACAGCCAAACCACATCATCTGCAGTTTGCTTATGCACTGTCAGTGATGCGAGAGTGTCAGGAGGAAAACAGTCGTCGCGCGAAGAACCATCCAGACATCAATCAGAGCTCACTCCAAGATCCTCTTCCAGGGAATGTCCGACCTCGATCGACCGTGCGCTAATCTCCCCACCACATTGTGAAAACCCGCCGAGGCTCAGCAGTTGCTTCGTTTGAGAAAACGTGGCGACAGCCGTTGACGTCAACTGCCCCTCACAAGCTCGTAACCAGGTCATTCACCAACTCTCTCTCTCGCGTTGACCCTGGCGCGCCTTCTTTTTTACACGTGTCCCTTTCACCTGCTCCTCTTCTCACTTGTCCCGTGGCCCCTGGGCACTGGTTGCCGCGAGCTGGCCTCGGGTCCGCCTTCCACAGGTTGTGCCTGGGGGTGGTTCTTGCGAACCTGTCCCGGCCTGTTCCAGGACTGGAGATCGGTCTCCCGGTCTCCAGCCTCACTCATCTCACTCTCGCCACCTGAGTCCCTGTCCAGATGGGCCTGTTCTCGGTCCATCGTGTCTACTGAGGTCTCAGTCTCATGATACGAGACCGTTACCTGCATCCTCGCAGTCACCCCGTCCCTTCTGCAGCGTCTCTCGGCCCGATCCTTGACTTCCGTAATAGCATCCTGCAGCTTCGGGTTAGTCCTCATTTCCTCCTCTTTAGCCCCTTCCACATTAATCTTCAGTCTCAGTTCGTCTCCCCCATCGTAACTGAGCATCCTTGTAATCCAGGGCCCTTCCCCAGACATGGGTTTCTAGCGGGTCTGGAGGTACCAATAGCCTGGTCTATAGTCGTGCAGTGCCATAGCCAGACTTCTCTCGGCAGACCCTGCACAGCACTAATCTGCCCGCCCAAAATAGTAAGTCATCCACTAGAATGCGCACAGTAGACTGCTCACAGGACCTGCAGGGCGCTATAGAAGCGGTTAGCAGGGAACAGCGTCCCAGCTTCTCAGACTGGAGAGGGCACACCTCATGCACACCGTGCACTCCATCCCCTTCTTCTCTTTATAGCCCAAGATCCCTGTTTTCTAAATGCGAGATAACTCTCAGAGTTCTATATTCTAACAATCCATAATTTGTAAATTAACAAAATAAAATAAATTAAAATAAACAGAGAAAAGCGGCGTGAAGCAAAACACCAATGGTCACAGTCCCTGCTCCAACTTTCGGCCACTAGTCGTTTCGTTTTAATCGCGAGGCGACCACAGGCCCGAAGCCATGGTCCCATAACGAGATACCGCCAGCGCATTCTCCTCCTCAAAAAGGCGCCCTCAGACTACCTCCCGTGGGTACCCGTGTCCAATGGCAAGGAGGGGGCTTATGACTCTCCACTGAGGAGGGTGATAAGCCTCCTACCAATGCGGCCGCGGGTCGCCCCCTCTTTTGGGACCCCTCTGCGCGCCACTCTGCCGAACGATTCAACTGTTTACAAAAGGTCGGGCCTGTCTAGACCGTCCAGCGGCGACCACAGTTCAAGTTTGAACCGCCGGCCCCGCAGAGTGACTGGCTGAAAAAAAAAAAAAAAAAAAACCATAGAAAAATCTATAACAATAATAATAATAATAATAATGTCAGAGAAAGTAGGGGAATCGTAACGCTGCAATGGGCTGGAGCCACCAGATTCTCCCTGAACTAAAGTGTGGGCTCAGATTTGACATTCCATTTATTTTTTTCTTTTTCCACCTCCCTTCCTTTTTTTTTCCTCTTTTACTTAGCCTAACCTCTCTCTTTTCTTTCCCTCTGACAGCGACCTCTGTTCCGCACACCTAACCCATAACCTGGTTAGAGGGCATTCCTTGCGCAGTAGAAAAGACTGCGCCGGTCCCTCTACCTTCGCGTCCCTGGGCGAACCCGGCGGCTACCACGACCACAGGCCGGTAGTGCTCTGCTGTACAGCAGGGCGCCGAGCCTGCATGGACCAAAGGAAAGTCCAGTGGCGCACCCTTTTGTCAGGACAGACGCCAACCGGACCGGTCCTTACCGAAGTTCAGCTCAGGTACCAGGCCTGGAGAGGTTCGGAACACGCCTAAGAGCAGCGAAAGTAGGGACAGGGAACTGGTACTCGGTAGGAATCTGGCACCCAGGAGGGCCGGGACACCGCGCCCTCCGACAGCGTGAGGCCATCCGCGGTGTGTGTGTGTGTGTGTGTGTCCAGTGGGGCACCCTTTTGTCAGGACAGACGCCAACCGGACCGGTCCTTACCGAAGTTCAGCTCAGGTACCAGGCCCGTAGAGGTTCGGAACACGCCTAAAAGCAGCGAAAGTAGGGACAGGGAACTGGTACTGGGTAGGAATCTGGCACCCAGGAGGGCCGGGACACCGCGCCCTCCGACAGCGTGAGGCCATCCGCGGTGTGTGTGTGTGTGTGTGTGTGTGTGTGTGTGTGAGAAAGAGAGAGAGAGAGAGTTTTCCAGCCATGCACGCAGAGAGATAGAGAGAGGCTACTTCCATCGATAGGATGGCAAAATCCGAATCAATCAGACACACACACACACTCATGCGCGTGTAGTACTGTATATTTCGATATTCTAGTGGTAGATTCATTCGATTTTGCTCATCCTATCGATGGAAGTACTCTCTCTCTCTCTCTCTCTCTCTCACACACACACACACACACACAAAATGTGAGGAGAGAGAGAGTGTCTCCTTTTTTTTGTGTGGGGGGGATAGTTTTCCAAATACCCCCATAAGTTGAGATATATGTCAAAATGTCCCTAAAAGATACGGGCACAGCGGAATGGCTTTTTGGACTGACATGTTTGTATTGTGCCCCTGTCAGGTGGGTGTGCTAATTCTCTTGGCCTTTTGCAGTTGCACCTACGAAAAGTTGAAAACTGCCAGGGCATTTTGCAAAGTTGGGCAGTGTCCGGTAGCGGTACATTGCAAAGATGGGTTCCAACTGATGGCTGGGGTGTTTCGCAAAATGTTTTTGTCATCGTCCTTCGCTGCGGCGGGTCCACTTGTTGTCTTAAAGAACTTCATTACCTGCAGCTTTGTACTTGATCAGTTTGCGATTCAACTCCATTCCTTCAATCTCCTGTTCGCCCCCACACATGATTGTCCTCTCACACGCCCGCCAACCGACCACACATGAATTTCAAAGGGCCATAGAAACAAGCAAACCATAAACCTACACACAGTATGAACATACAGCTGCACGAGCACACACATGCAATAACACAAAAGCATGCACGGTTACCCAAAAAAAGAAAAGAAAGGGAAGCAATATGTGCACAGATATACGCATATTACATAAATGGATGGGCACCCCCCCTCTCCCCCCCCCTCCCCCCCCCTGCCCAACTACCGCCCACCAACCCACACTTGCAGAGGTGAAGACGACCACACAACCAAAACGAATCCCCAAGACCAATACACAGTCCAAATGACAGACGTACAGACGGAGGCCAGAGTGCATGATGTAAGTGAGCGGACAGAATTGCACAACTGGATCAGCTCCGCAGCATGCAACAAGAAATAAATTTCAAAATACAGAGACAGCATTTAATCATCAGACTGAAAACAGATGGAAAAGTAATTTACATTTTAAAACGTGCACGGCCAGACATCCATGCAACAACTGACAACAGGAAAGCACTGACATTTGACAGGCATCAAGACTGCCTTGACGACCGGACAAACACAGATCCCACTCTGACTATATGCCCAATAAACCATCCGTCATATAGAGGCTATAGCCATTTAGAAACACACAGGAAGCGGAAAAAAAAAAAAACAACGAAACAAAAGAAAAAAAGAAAGAAGAACAAGAAGCACAGAAATAGACCATCAAATGAGACTGTGACTCCAGTGAAAGAATCAAAAGACGCCTAAAAGAGCCCCAACTCTATTGCCAATTTGCCACCAAATTCAAACAAGCAGAGCGCAGGGGCGTAGCTACAATCTTTTTTTAATGAAAAATTAGAAAAACTTAAAAAAAGGGATATCTCGAGATCAATAGTGACACTGATCTCTATCTACATTGTGCCATGACAAATGCCGAACTTCAGAGTCCAAACACAATGTCACCCTGTGGCAGCACAGAACCTGTCAGTTATAGATGCAAGCAAACAGGATGCAACCAAGGCTGAATATCCGGTCCCACCGGGGCCCCCTTTCCCCACCGGAACCGGGCCGGTGGTACCGGCCAGTGGAGCGCACCAGTTCCCCCCCGGTTGCAATTTGCACAATTTGCCGG